TTACAGTCTTACCACTGTGCAGACGTTGTGTTCAATGTTCATATACCCGTTACAGTCTTACCACACAGAGCTGGGTGGCAGAGACACCAATTTACTAAACTACTTTCAAATTTAAGATAAAAAAAACGATGGCTAATAGTTTATTTATTGATGATGGCTACATTGGGGGGGAAAAAAAAAAGAAGCCATTTTTTGGTCTTGAATAACAAAATAAAAAAACCTAATTGTCCTAAAAGCATCAGTAAACGTGCTCTATTGTTTAAAAACAATAAATAAAAGATTGATCTCCTCTCCTAGAACATTTTGAATAAATCAGATGGGATTTCCTGCATTTTGGTGTATTTTAACGGGTTGTTAAACATTATGTGCGTGTAAGTTTAAAAAAAATAAATAAATAAATTTTTCGCGGACCCCCAGTGGTATGGAGACCCCAGTTTGAGAATCACTGTGCTAAAGTATTGATACCTATTTGGCAAAGCAATACTTAAAAATGTATTTCTTTAAGAATGTGTTGTTTAAAATTAGAGCTGCATCGATCCGATATTAGTCTCGTATCGCTACTGATATTGAAAGATTCTTGATGGTGTAATAAGTGACCATGTGACTGATCCATAAGGACGGGAGTTGATTGCTGTTTATTTTAAATATCTGCCAACCAAACTAGTGAAGCTATTTTTTCCTCTTATTTCCGCTCCTTTATTATTTATTTTACATTATATTTAGAATTCCTGAACATGTGAAATGTTTGAAGTTTATTTTTTCATGTTTGACCAAAGTTTGTCAACCTATTTGTGTCCGTTTCAGTATCTTACGGTGATTATTTATTTTACATTGAATGTTATACTCGTAATTCACTGCCTGAACAAATTAAAGTTGTTTTTACATGTTTGACCAAGCTTGTGAAGCTACTGGTGGGTTTAAGTGTGCTGTACAGGTGCAGAGTTTTCTATAAATGTATAATTCAGTCCATTTATGTCTGCGTTTAAAGAAACTAATGTTTTAAGTTAATTCAGCACTGTTGTCTGTATCAGATCGGTATCGGCTGATATTAAGCCTCAGATATCTGTATCATTATCGGAAGTGAAAAAAAAAGTGAATCGTGCATCCCTATTTAAAAATCTGAGATACCGGTAGTATCGTCTGAGTAAACTGAGCACAGAGTGCATCCATCCATTATCTTTTACCTGCTTCTTCCTTTTTGGGTCGCGGGGGTCACTGGTGCCCATGTCCAGCCATCACTGTGCGAGGGACACCCTGGACATGTCTCCAGCCCATCACAGGGACACATAAAGACAAACGAGACAAACAACCATTCAGTCTCACTCACACCTAGGGACAATTTAGAGTTACCAATCAGTCTAACTTGCATGTTTTTGGTCTGTGGGAGCAGAAACCGGAGTACCTGGAAAAAACTCACACATGCATGAAGAGAACATGCAAACTCCACCCAGAAAGGTCCCCGGACTGGGATTTGAACCGAGGCGACCTGCTCGCTGAGAGGCAGCAGCTCTACCAGTTGTGCCACCGTGCTGCCCTCACAGAGGGCAGTGAGTTCAAAATATACTACAGCTGTGCAAATAGTTATTGTACTGTGAGTTACTGTGATAGCCTGTGAATTGTTGCAGTTCTTGGACATCTTACTGTGTGAACGTTTCTAAATCTTTCTCACTATTAAGATCCATTTTTCTTCCGTATACGTTTTTCGGCACATACCTTGTTGCGCAATATTTGTGTCATTTCAACAATTCATGTATCGGAATGTTCAGCTCATTCAAGACATTCCTTATATGACCTTTGGTATTTGAAATTTGTACTTTTTTGAAATATGTAGATTTTTCAGCCATGTTTTTCTCGTTGAAAATGAATGGAGCTCTCTTTACATCCTTCCAACTCTTTGTGCCGTTTGAAACTTTTACTGCTCATTTCAGCTTGTATGTGCTTTTTCAGCCTTTTCTTTGGTGTGTGTGTCATTTTGGCCTTCTTTTGGTAACTTCCGCCTTTTCTGATTCTTTCGAATAATTTCAACTTTTTATGCTAATTTCAGACTTAAAGCTCTAGTTATTCTGTTGATTTCAGCTTTTTAAGTTTTACAGCTCCTTTTATTTTCTAATTTAACACTTTTTGTAATCTATTCAGCCTCCGTTTCTGCCTATTTTAACTTATGCTGTTCATTTCTGCTAAAATTCAGCTCTCTTCAGCTTTTTTCTTCTGCATTCCACTTTCATATTCCTGCTTTCAGCAAATGTCGGCTGTTTAAATTCAACTGTTTAGCGATGAAACCTTTTTCAGCCACATTTTTTTTGTTGTTGTTTTGCTTTGTTTTGTTTTTTGAATGTCCAGAGGACATCACATTTCACAAGCAGAACTGGTTTGTTCCACTTTGGAGTAAGCTGTTGGGGGAAGAATCAGTTTTGTTGTGCGTTTCCTTGACTCATGAAGCCTTCTGGATCAAAGGCAAAACATTTCAGCACAAAAAAAAAAAACTGTCCAGATGACCGGACTGAAAAATGTTGGATTGTATAACCTGGATTATTGAGCATGTATCAGAATACTTTTTCAGCCTGGTTTCAGCTTCAGAAGCTTTCAGCAAATATCAGCAACAATCTTTCACACTGAATTGTCACAGGAAATTAAATTTCTCCAATTGATACTGCATTAACAGTAAGTACGGTAGTTGATTGCAGCCAAAAGCATACTGAGTTTTATTTGTTGTTCTTGGCTATTTAAAAAAACAAACAAACAAACAAAAAAAAACAGAATAAAGCCTTGTTCACACTGCCTTACTTTTGTTCAGGCATTTTCTTTGTCATAAAACAATCATAGGTGTCATATTTATTTTTTTACTACCTTGAATCGTGGCCAATTCAGCACTTTTAATGACCAAACACAATTCAGTTCAATTCAACAGAACCTACGACGATTAACAAGCATTGCCTGAATTATTTAGGAAAAATAATGTGGGACTGCAGCTGAAAAAGACATTCCTTTTTCAACCCATGAGTGTGTTCACAGCTGTTTCCTTTTCCTCTTCTCAACTTTGTAGAGTTTAATGAGAGCGTTAACGTCAGCGCAAGTTCTTTACAATTTCTGAAACTCTAGTCAAATTTAGGAGTTCATAGCCTAAAGCACGGGTGTCCAAAATGCGGCCTGAGGGCCATCTGCGGCCCTTGGAGTGATTTTGTGCGACTTCTCTGACTCCTCCCTTTCTCTTTTCTCTTTAAAATCCATTTTAACCATCCAAAATCGTGTTTTTTGATCGTTAAAAGCAGCTAAGCTGAGAAGTGCAGCTACAAGCTAAGCTAACAGGCTGACTTCAGGAAAAAACCTCTGTCTTGTCGAAGTTCCAAAATTCACGGTTGAAACCCGTGCCTTCGTGTAAAGTTTTTTTTTTTTCTGCCAAAAGATTCTGAGAACTTGTTTACAGATTTTTATTTTTATTTTTAATTTTATTAAAAGCTTTGTGTGAAAAATGCTATGCTAAAGAGCTCAAACTATACCGGGCGTCTGCCATTTTGAGAACCAAAAAAACAAGGAGAGACAGCCCATGTCACGTCAAGGGGCCTCCTCCCATTTTTCTTAAAGACATGCTGCTCGCTCCCTCACTATCCATCCTTTGGTTCAAACGGTCTTATACTGCCATCTGGTGGTCAAAAAAAGGTACTACGCTCAAAACAAATTAACCAACATTTCTTCTTAACTTTGACATTAATTACTAATTATTGTCAAATTTCAAACAATATTATCGTTTATCACAATAATTTCCGAGACAATTAATCGCCCAGCAAAATTTGTTCTTGTGACAGGCCTAGTTTGGACACTCCTGGCCTAAAAGGAGTAGACTGGTAGCTCGTTGGTCAGTGCCATGGTCTTGTAATCTTGAGGTTGCGGGTTCGAGCCCAGTTTGGACTGTCAGGAAGGGCCTCCGGTGTAAAAACAATTGCCAAATCTTTCCTGCGAGCCCGCTCACTGTGGCAACTCCTGAAGAAGGGAGCAGCTGAAATCAACTTGTCAAGTTTATTTTTTTTGCTTCAGACCAAAGCTGGTAAACGTTTACCGATATAGCGTATTGATCATTCTAAAGCCGGTTGATCCTGGTAGAGGAACAAGAAAGCCATCATTTTGCAACTTTTAAATATCCAGTACAGGATTTGTGTATAGCCTCAGGCTCTCTGTGGATATATGTGATCTGTTGCTTTTCTGTTTTACTTTTTATGAAAATCTGTTCGTCCTTATTTATTATTTTCCTTGTTTCCAGCGGGACAAACAACAGATACTGAAAAAAACCAAGAAGGAGCAGGCAAACCCAACTGGGACTATATTGCTTTTGTGCTGGTGCCAGCTTTTTTCCTTCTGGGCCTCATCGGGGTGGTGATCTGCCACGTGTTGAAGAAGAGAGGCTACAGGTGCACCACAGCCCAGGACGGTGAGGAAGAGGAGTGTAAGGAGGAGCTGGATTCAGAGCTGGGTGGAGGTAAGCTGGTTTTGATTAATTACAAAATCTCAACACTCTTTCATATCTGGAGTTTTATTCATCGACATACGAAAATGATGTGATGTAAGACTTATTTAAATCCAAACTCAAATGTAAAAAAAAAACATAACTGATGCCATTTTTTATTAAACCAAAACAAACGCAAAATGAAAACAGATTTTTTTTGTATATATTTTTTTTTTACATAGTATCGGTATGCAGCTTTTGTCACGGCAGTATTTTCTTCAGGGTTTCTCAAAGAACATACTGGTATTCAAAGCTTCTTGGTATTAAGGAAAAAACTTCATTTTTTTTGTTTTGCATTTTGCCATATTTAAATGAGTGTACAACTCAGTAAATTATCAAATACATAAAATGGAGTTTTGGCATTGATTTTGTTGTCTAGTTTGCATGTGTTGCTACCAATCGTGAAGTAAATATTCAAGTATTTCTATGTATTAAGTACTCTCATGGCCTCTGACTATGAACTTGTATCTATACTGGTCCTGTTAAACCTCAGTGCTGCATTTGATCACAACATTCTAATACAGAGACTTGAATATGATATTGGGATTACAGGAACAGCTCTAAATTGTTTTAAATCATATTTATCTGATAGATTCCAGTTTGTAAATAATGAGTCTTCTTCATACACCAAAGTTAGCCATGGAGTTCCTCAGGATTCAGTGCTGGGACCTCTTTACTTTATATATGCTTCCATTAGTTTAGAATTACATTAGAATGCATTAGAAAGCAGCAAGAAGTTAGAAGAAGCACAAAAATGTTATAGTTAGCAGAAAGAATCTGAAAGGAGCACAAAACGGCTGAAATTAGCTGAAAGTAGCAGAATTTATTTTTTTTTTTTTTTGCTCAAGGGAGCTGAAAGAAGCTGAACCAAAACAAAGTGTGAAAGGAGCAGTAAAAGGTTGTAAACAGATCTAAAGATCTGAAGGCTGTAAAATGAGCTCAGTTCATTTTCTATGAGACAAAGTGTCAGAAAAGTCTAAATATGTCAAAAAGCTAAAGGTACACAAACATCAAAAGTCATAGTACCATTCGCCTGCGAGCTGAACGTTTTGATTTACGATTTGTTGAAATGGAACAAAAATTGTGGAACGAGAAAGATGCCGAAAAGCGGACGGAAGAAAAATGAATCGCAATAGTGTGAATGCTTCATAAACAGTCACATAATAATATAACGATAAAAAAAATAGTCAAATCATGTCTCATATTCCAGTCCAGTTAGATACCAATTAATGTTCACACTAAATCAGACTCTTGTCAAACTGTGATGCTGTTGCACTAATATCACTTCAGCAGTTGGCACTAAAGGAGTTTCTACATTTTTGCATTAGTTTCCAAATCAGTCACGCGTCTTTGTAAAGTTTTCCACCATGCATTCGTGTGGCGGTGAGATTCAGGGTCAGAAATAAAGCAACAACATTTGCCAGTTGCTTCTTTTTAATCTTATCTCAAATGCTCACTTAATCTCTGACTTGCATTCCCAAATCAGCTGACACGAGTCTATAATGAAGACATTAACTCAAATGTCATGGACCACAAATGTACGTCATGGAGGGAGTTTCTTTCAAAGTTGCGTTCTAAATTTAGCTCCTGATGAGAGATTGTACCTGTCTCTTTAAGAATGAAGCTAGATTGCTTTGGCAATCACAGCACTTTGTTTGTGACTCAACATGGGCGTGTGCTGACTTTGGTTCAATGAGGTTAAACCAGAGAAGCAATCGTTGTCCGTGTGGTTCCTTTATTTCTGCAGCAGTCATGCTGGAATACTTCAGAAAATACGTGTGACAATGAGGAGCATTCTTTCCCATGAACTCGATTATCTAATCAGTCTTTTTGATGCTTTTCCCCATTCCTCTGATAAATGAGAGCAGGCTTTTGTTTCCTTTTCCTGTAGTAATGCTCGTGTGCAGGAATTAGTCGTTCTGTAACCGCTTGGCTCTGGCTCATATACACGCGAGACAAGAAGTAGACAGAATAAACATGTCACGCCATGCTGTCAAGATTACTGCTGTTTCTCACCAATCTGCAGTGAACCGTTTCAAGCGACTGTTCATGCATTTCCCACAGAATACCACGTCTACGAAATTGGAAATAGTTGAATTCAGTTGTTTCAGTCAGGGTTCAGGGCAAAGCCCCTGATCTCCAGTGATGAGCAGACCTAATGCTTCGGTGTACAAAGACATTTTGGGCAGTTTTGTGCTGCCAACTGTGTGACAGTACTTTGGGGGAGTCTCAGTATGTCTCATGTGCCAAACTCGAGGCCTGAACACCACATCTGGCCCTTGTGAACATCTTATCTGGCTCTCCAAGATGATATTTGTGTGAATGTTTATGAAGCATTCACACTATCGTGATCCATTTTTCTTCCGTACGTTTTTCAGCGTGATTCTCATCCTGCAGTTTTCACGCTATTTCAACAAACCATATATCAACACGTTCAGCTCTTTCAGGACAATCCTGCTATGACTTTTGGTATTGGTGCAGCTTTAGCTTTTTTTTTTTAATATTTAGTCTTTTCTGTCATTTTTTTTCTTCTCATAGAAAATAAATTGAGCTCATTTTACATCCTTGAAATCTTTAAATCTGTTTACAACCTTTTACCGCTCCTTTCACATTTTGTTCTGGTTCAGCTACTTTCAGCTCCTGCTGCAAATTAAAAAAAAAAATTCCAGCGAATTTCAGCTGTTTTTCAGCTTTAGAATATTTCTGCTAACTACAACTTTTTTGTGCTTCTTCTAACTTATTTCTGCTAACTTCAGCTTGTTATGCTCTTTTCAACTTATTTCTGCACGTTTCAGCTTTTCTGCTATTTCAACTACTTTTATGTTTTTTGCTAATTTCAGCCTTTTTCAGATAATTTCCTCTTTTTTTGCATTCATTTCTGCTTCTTGCTTTCTTTTGCTAATTTAAGCTTGTTCTACCGTTTCAGCTACCTTTTTAGCTAATTTCAGCTGTTTTCATATTCAAGTTTTTCAAGTACTTTCTGCTACTATCAGCTTAATTAACGTCTTTCTGCTATTTTCAGCTTGTTATGCTCCTTTCAGCTTATTTATGCTAGTTTCAGCTTTCTCTGCTATTTCAGCTACTATTTAGCTGTTTTGTTGTAAATTTAGTTTTTTTCAGCTAATTCCACTTTTTCTAGCTTGTTGCAGCTCCTTCCACTTCCTTCTGGTAATTTAAGCTTCTTTCTGCCTTTTTCAGCTACTTCAAGCTATTTTTGCTAATTTCAGCATTTTTTTTTTTTAGGTAGTTCTACGTTTTGTACTCAGTTGCTGAATTTAATTTAAAGCATAAATGTGTTCTTTCTGCTTCTAAGTTATGCTTGTTAATCCATTTCAGCTACATCTCAGCATGTTTTTAGCTAATTTCAGCTGTTTTTCAGCACGTTCTTCAGCAACAAGCATTCGCACTGCATTTTCTCAGGAAATGCAATTTCTCTAGTTTAAATGTAAAATATTATTGCTTCTCTTTTCCCTTAAAAAACAAAAGTATTTCCTTTAGTGGAGACTTCTCGACAGTTTGCTAACTTTAAAGCCAGAAAAAAAGTTTGGATTTTTAAGTAATCTTTCATTTTGATGTGGAAAGATCAACGGAGGACGTCAAATGATCCTGATCAAACTCTTGTTGATTCACCTGCAACCTAGAAATGATGTCTATCTGACTGGAGTTAATGTAGCGACTGAAACTGGCCCGCAGCTTGGACAAAGCTTTTAACTTTAGCCCCCTTTTGTAACAGTTTGACACCCCAGTGTGCAGAGCAGGAACTATAAAAATGTTTTTGATGAGTTGGTGTGGAAGAGCTTGACTGGCTCACACAAGGTCGTAATCTACCCCGTAATTTGCAGGCTGGACATAGACTTAAAACGTCTTTTTGCCTTTGTGCAACCTCTGAATTCTTTGCAGAAATAAATGAGCACAACTCCCTCAAAACACTGAAATCTTGTGGAAAGCCTTCCAAGAAGAGTGGAAGCTGGTCTAGCTATAAATGGTGGACCAGTTCCATACAGTCCCTGTCAGTGCGATGGTCGGGTGTGGCAAACACTTTTTTGTCCGGATCGTGTATAATAACTTGTCAGGAGCTCTTTGAACAACCTGAGTTTGGAGAAATTGTTCAATTCTGACCAGGCTGACGAGTTAAAGGCTAGTCGGATCAAGTCCAGTATCGCATGGGATTGCTGCGGACTTGAACCAACCTTTACACCGCCGTCACTCACATTACAGGTTATTCCAGTTGAAATATATTAATGTAAGGAGCCATGCTTCACCAGAGGTGCTACAGATAATTGCTGCTGCTGTTGCTATTTCACAATTACAAATAACCACTAAATTTAATCTAAAGAACCCATATAATGCAAAATTAACAGCAGTGTATACGCTGTGTATTCCCCAATTATTGGATTTTTTTTTACTGGGATTATTGAGCATGAACTTTGATGTTTTGAACCATGGCTGCTTCAGAGGAGTCGACAAGGGAGAGGGCGGACTCCAGAAACCATCTTGTCACCATCAAACTGGTTGGTCCACTAAGTGAGTGTGCTGCTTGTGGGACTGAGTTTGTTGTGGCTCCTCGGACTGATGAAGTCTTTTGGATTAAATGCGAAACGTTTCAACACAAAGAAACCATCCAGAGGACCTGATTAACTTTGTTGGATGTTTTTACCTGGATTATTGAGCATGAACTTTGATGTTGAGGCAGTGTATACGTTTATAAAATTGTGTTTGCATGAATTGTCATGAAACTTTTGAGACTGAAGCTTTTTCAAGATGGCATCAATCCACTTTAGTCTTAGCCTGACTTCTACTCTCTGTTGGCTCATCAGTCCAGTGAAAACTATTAACTATTTCTTCAGACTGAGACTGTTGACATGACCATCGGCAACAGATACGCCTGTCGCAGTAAACAATAAATAAATTAATCGCATGATAAATTAAAATTATCTACCTCATTTTCATTTATCGGCTTTATCATTTTTCTTTTCTTCTCTCTTCGCTAAAAGCAGCTAAGCTGAGAAGCTAAGCTACGAGCTAAGCGAACAGGCCGACCTCGGGAGAAAAAAACCCTCTGTCTTGTCGAAGCTCCAAAATTTACAGTTGAAATGTGTGCCTTCGTGTAAAAAGTTGTTTTTTTCTGCAAAAAGAAGCTGAGAACTTGTTTACTGATTTAAAAAAAAAAAAAAAAAAAAAAATTAATTAAAAGCTTTGTGTGAATAATGCTATGCTAAAGAGCTCAAACCACACCGAGCGTCCGCCATTTTGAGAACCAAAAACAAGGTAGGAGAGACAGCTCATGTCACGTCAAGGGGCCTCCCTCCCATTTTTCTTAAGACGCTGCTCGCTCCCTCACTATCCATCCTTCGGTTTAGTCTTATACTGCCACCCGGTGGTCACAAAAGGTACTACACGCAAAATAAACCAACATTTCTTCATCAATACAACAATAATTACTATTATTGTCAAATTTCAAACAATATTATCGTTTATCGCAATAATTTCTGAGACAATTAATCACCCAGCAAAATTTATCATGACAGGCCTAGCAACAGGTACAGTAATAACTTTCACCTGAAGCCCCTGCTTTACAGATCTGAACCATTATTTTAAGTGGAAGCAACCTTGGGTAAATGGTTTAAATGGTTTCCCTCACTGAGTCCAAGTTAGCTTCCTGTTAACAACACAAGGGTTGTATGTGTATCTTTTGTGTGTTTCCCCTCTTGAAGCCCCACCCTTATTATTACATGTTAAAACAGACATGGCTTTTGACCTCATTTTTTCAGTTCTTGTTTTACAGTGGTCAGAGGTTTTAAATGATCTTCCTCTCATTTGAAGCAGTGGAAACGATGCAGGCTGCTGGTAAGGATCGCTCACAGCCTGCCAGGGGATTCCTGAAAACACTTTCCTGTATCAAAAATTTGGAAAACGGAAGGAAGTAATAAACAGAAAAATCTAGGGAATGATGGTCTATCGAGGCTGTGTACAAAATGCAATATTTGGTTTTGTGTTAAAAGAATTTCACATTTTCTGACTTGTCAGTTTTCCCCCTAGGCTTCTGGACTTGATGGTTGAGGGATATGTTTTTACTCTTTTTAATAACCGTTTTAATAGTTTTATTATTTGGAAAATTTATTTACGAAGTGTGCAGATTTTCTCATTGCAGTTTTTCTTTAGGGCTTCTCAAAGACCTTTTTCAAAGTTTCTTGTTGTGGATAAAAACACTTATTTTCTAGTTTTAAGTGGGTTACAACATTTTTGAATTAACGTACGGTAATCAAATAATTGATCAGATGTGAAACATCATTGACAATTTATGCACTGATTCCGTGGAATCAGTTTGTCTAGTTTGCCTGTATTGTTGCCAGTCTTGAGGTTTGTGTTTGTTAGCGACACTGTCCGGTGTTATAAGGTCACAATGCACCTTCAATTTTCTAATCTTATCTTATTGAAAAACATACACTTGAACAATATTCTAGAAACGATACAAACGTGTTTTAACTTGCCATGATGTAGTGCTCTGAAATATAAATGAAGTTTAAACAATTGTTCCAACAATTTTCAGTCAGGTCATCTGGACAGTTTCTTTTTTTTTTTTTGTGCTGAAATGTTTCACCTTCCATCCAGAAGGCTTCATCAGTCAAGGAAACACACAACACAAAACTGATTCTTCCCCCAACAGCTTACTCCAAAGTGGGACAAACCAATTATGTTGGTGCTAAGATTGTTTCTTTGGCACGCCCCCTCCTCCGGTGCCGGCCCTCTTCCTCATCAACAGTCATGTCAAACTGGTTCAAAACCAACAAAGTCCATGCTTTCCTTGACTGATTAAAAAAAAAAAAGCCTTCTGGATGGAAGGTGAAACATTTCAGCACAAAAAAAAACCTGTCCATATGACCTGACTGAAAATTGTTGGATTGTATACCTGGATTATTGAGCATGACCTTTGTTGGTTAAACAGTTGTTAAAATAAAAAAAATCTGTAAAATCAGTTTCTCATGCAAGTATCGTCCGATTTCCCAAAATTAAGGAAATCGGGGCCGATACATTGGCTGATTTATCGGTGCACCCCCTAGTTGCCAGATAAATGGTAAGTATCATATTTATACAATAGTTTTGAGGTCAAGC